TATATATATATATATATATATATTGGACACATGCACCTCACCTGTATATCTACAAGAAAAATACACCATTCATGTGAGGAGTCATTTATTTGCACAGAGGCAGCATAGAGATAGTTAACGTTACACAAAAGCTGCACCCCTCAAGGGCACAAGAAAGGTTGCACGCCCTTTTTAGCGCACGTCGAAATAATAAAAGAAACCGCGCTGCCTTGGGTAACTGGGCAGATGAGAAGATTCCCTACGTCGTGGGGATTTGTCTCCCATTCGGGGGTAACATTTGCAGTGAAGGCTACTGAAAATTTAACTACTTGCCGTCGAGCCAAGGCAACCTGTCTATGCACCCCATACTAGATAAAGCCAGGAAGGCGGGCGCAGAGAATCTTGACACCACGTGTTTCCATGCTTCTGCTTTGAAGCGTCTCACAGTATTCTGATGCGCTTCTCCGCAACTCCTAGGCGGTGGGCACAGATAAATAAGAGGAGCATGTAACTCGTCATTAGAAGCCACACCACGACCGCAGGCTGTAACAATGTCCGAATAGAGATGTTCACAGCCCCCACACAAACATTAGCAAGTAGGAATATGATTAACTGATTGTCATTGGTCCCCTGAAGTGCCCACTGCGGGCCTACACGAGCTGTACGCACACCAACAGAACACGACTGCATAATAAAGCTGCCTACAAGCCAAAAACGCATTTGATCAATAACTATCCTTAGCGCTGCATCACTACTTCCCTTTGATGCTACACCAAGATACATGCTCACCAGCCAGCGCATCTCCGAGGGCTGCTGCGCCCACAGCGAATAATTCAATGCCTCCAACGAATGCTACCCACGTGAGATTAACGAAACGGCGACGCGCTAGAAGCCCAAAACCCTCTTGCAGCGACAAACCAAAAGAGATGAACAAAAATGCAAAGCTGAATTGCATAACAGAGACGCATGCATGCATATCACGAAAACAGCATAAAGTGCCGAAACCCAGAAGGAAATTACGCATGCGACATGAATGCGCCGACATGATGAAAACTACAGCGCCTTTTTCACTCGAAGTATACGAATACTCAGAAGTAACATAACAGGCAGAAGGAATACATAGAAACAACAGAGCGCAAATTGACAATTCGCAGAAAAAGAAGAACACCAGGAAGGAATACATAGTAACAGCAGGGCGCAAAGAGGGACTACCTAGGTATTTGACTCACAAGAAAAGGTGCAGAACAAGAGAAAGCAAACTAAGCCGCTTCGGGGCGGTCCTGTTGAGCAGCAAAACAGGCAAGAAGGGAAGTCGCAGGACATGAGGTGATACAGACAACAGAGAAAGCGGTGTAAGCCAGCACGAGGGCATGCCGCACCACTATTCCCTTACTCGGACTTTATTTTTTGTTGCGTTGGGGCACGCGTGACAACGAAGTGCCCCAAAGCGACGGCCATCAAGAACAAGCAAAGGAAGCCTTAGGCATATAAACAAATAAACGCATTAATGCATTAATATTCACACAGGTAAGAAAGTATGAGACCTTGCATCTTGCTGTCTGCGCGTAAGATGCATTTGCCTTCCTCCCCCAAGTGAAGGAAAGACTCAGAGAAAGGAGAGGGTAGGGAGCAGGAACTTATGAACTAACGAAGAAACTAGCATGATTCTGAGAAGGCTGAATGCATAAAGCAAAAAGCACCAACTAATGAACAAACTACTTACCTATAGACCCAAAGATCCCTTCTCTGTTGGCCGAGAAAAAATCTGCAGTCAATCGGAGGCGCACAGTTTAAATGCTAAAGCTTCTAAACTAACCCTGAGTGAATTGACTACATACAATGCAAGGGTCTGGGGTGTCAGGCTCACTTGTCCGCGGTCCTTCCATCATCCATTCGTCAAGATCAGCAGCATAAATAATAATCTGATAGCCTGCACGCAGAAATTTCAGAGAAAAGACAACACTTGCCCACACACCCCAAACTGAAAAAGGGAAAAATCCTTGCTCCTGTGGGATGCCCACAAGCTGCGACGCACGCCTTCGCAGCCGCAATACTATCCTTCCGCATTCTGTTGGGCTTGTTTCCAATGCTCTAGCTACAGAAGAAGCGGAGAAGTGTAAGTGTAGCATGCACAGACACCCAAGAGAGGGAAACCCACAAACAAGAAGCAGTAAACCGAATGCTCCCGCCTTGTAAGGGTGGCCGCTATACCCGCACACCAGCTCGCCCACTGAGTGAAAAGACAGCCACAAAGACACGCAACGAAAAGTGATGGAAACTCCCAGCAGGAGGAGGCCACGCAAGCCAGCACAGGCGTTAGGCAATACAGAGGCGGCTAATAAAGGGACGGAAGGGGTTTCTGTGTCTACACAACTGGCAAATTCACTAGAATGCGGATAAAAATAGTGCAATTATCAATAGAAACGTCCACTTTAACTATCTCCAGGGCAACTAGTGTCTCAGGTTTCAGGTTTAAAAGCTGAGGGTTCGCGAGGGTTTAATGCGTACACACAAAAACCACCATTAGGGTCATGTAAAAGTTCCAGTGCAGGCCGTACTCTGTTTCTGAGACCTTCAGACAATACGCAAGACATTGGTATGCAAAAGAAAGTCAGGAACAGAGCGGGAAAAGGTGGGAGAAACAATGTTATTACTCAAAAAAGGACCCATAATGCAGTCTGTCCCTGGTAGTCGTTATTAGCTACTACTGCTACACTCATCGACGTCAACGTTGACTTCAGAACAGCGAAATCAGCGGCGAACCGGTGCTCCTCCTCGCCACCTTAACGCACTATTTAGAGTTGAGGGTTTAGTGTTTTAGCAGCAGCACGGACAGTAGAAGCCGCAGCTCACATGTAGGTTTGTAAGCGACATGAACACAAGGCGAATTAGCCCAAAGATGCCCAAGGGGCCGCTGTGAAGGGCCGCCCGGCTCACAGAGGCCCAAAGCGATTCTTCTCTCTTCATACACCCTAAGAAGAAAAAACAACACGAGAAATATTTCTCAAGCAACGCGCAATTGGAGAATAAGCAAGACAGAGATGAATTCCGAAAAAGGCAAAGCGGGATGGCAGGCAGAGGAAAAGAAATCACACCCATAACAAATGAAGGACAGAAGATAAACAAGCGAATGGCACAGCTTATTCAAACCTTGTGAGGCCTCTTTCTAAGGAGTTAGCTAGTTATAGTTGTATTGTATGCAGCGTATACATCGTTAGTGTAGTGGCAACAGCGAACCCTTGGAATGTGAAGAGACCATCCCTGAAGTAAAGATAATGCCTCCGACCCCCAAATCCATCTGCCTCGCGCACAAACAGACCAAATCCTAAACTATAAACCCTAAACACAAAGTGTGGGCTATGGAGCCGGAAACCCCTGAACGTGGCTACGCCAGGGATATGAACCCCACACCAAGCCAGCAATACCTCAGCAACCGACCAACAGAGCCCCGAAGCACCTTATGTTACTGAATCCGCCAAACCTAGACCATTATTTTTACACCTTCTCACCAGGGTCACTCCAGAGTTGACACTTTTGCAGAACTTTCGCGGAAACGTCAGAAAATCAACGCCAAGGATCGCTGAAGACGCAAGCGTTTGAGTCTAAACCGAAGCTGTATGCATGGAACTTTAAACCCTAAATCACTGGCAATAAAACCGAGAAACCATTTAACAAAGCGCCTTAAAATCATTGCTGTTTGTTGCTGTTGTTTCGAAGGTGAACTGCGGAGGACGCACCCGCGCAGGTGACGATCATTTGCATGGAGCGGTGGTCTGCAAAGGGCACCAAATGTCCACGACTGCAGCGACAGCCACAGCAAGAGCAACAGCAGCAGTAAATTGCAAGAGTTCAGCGCCAGGAAGACCGCACATGGAGCAGCACGAACCGCAGCAGCAGCAGGTTATAAGTCTCGTAGCTTACTTCTTCCTTGACGTCGATAGTTCACCTCCTCCACTGCAGAAGCACAAGAAAAGACCAAAAGGTCAAAAATGTAATCAACAAATCCAATTAAGGCTTAGCATGTACTCTGTGAAACAACTTGAAACGGCAGCGGCATTAGCAGCAGCTGCAGCAGATGCAGCAACAGCAGCAAGGCTACCTCTAGCAGCTGCGAGTGGTATGTGGGCCTTAGAACCCTGCGGATACAGGTGAGGCATCTGCACATTCGGGTTTACGTACACCAGGCGTTGTAAGGAGATTGTTCCAAGAACCCCCCGACAGCTGTAAGGCCAATACAAGCACAACATTGTTTTGGGATTAGGGCTTAGGTCGGGGGGCAAGGGTCCTAGGGTTTAGGGTTTTAGGGTTTAGTGCGCACGCGGGTGCATGCTGTAAAGGCAATTTAAAGCAGTAATGCCTGCGTAAGCATGCGTCTACGAAAAAGCTCGACCTTATTTGTTAGGGCTCGTTTGCAGATGCCAATAAGCCCATGTAAGCGGATTCATGCATTCATGCACATGCTTGCGATCAAGCACATATATATGCGCATACATATACACGATGCGCAAAACTGCAAATGCAGTGGATAGATAATACACGCAGTATGTACATATATGTGCGATCAAATATACAGACACACCGACACCGGCATCCACGTGCATGCAAACAGCCGCATTGACAAATAGCTACACACAAGCATACGCATATATTCGAACACAGAGATATTGAGGGGAGGTAGGTATGGGCAGGCGCATGCTGTTGAACAGTATACCATTTATATTTGAGCAATAGTGCGTTCCAATAAAGCATTCCGCTGCCTGCCTTGATTGCTTCCTAGGTGTACCGACCTGAGAACTGCTAACGCGCAGACGATGCACTGAATCCCAACAACGAAGAGTACGGGGATGGGAAAGAGGAAGGAGTAACAAGGCAGCAGAAAGCAGCACACAAGAGGGCTGAGCGCCTCTGCAGCAACAGCAGGAAGAGAGAAAAATGCTGCAGCGGCAGCAGCTCCTGCTGCCACCAGAGACAGAGACACGGGCGGCAAGAAGAGGTAGAAATATACAAAAAACACCAAGGAGAAAGGAAGGAACAGCCGCTGCAACACGAGAAGGCAGAAACGCCAAAGAGAGACAGAACGAGACAGCGAAACACCCAGGCGGTTGTCTATGAACAGTTTCAGCTGCTGAGTCGTCAAAGGACACATCTGAAAGCACAAAACCCACACAGAAAGCCGCAGCCCAGCATGCACGTGCTTTCAACATAAATATACAGCATTGATCATACAACATTTACATACCAATACTTATATATTTTGTTTGCCTTGATCGCTGCCGCTGCAAAGAAGAGACTGCTTCCCTCTCCAGGCTATAATCGGCCAGTAGTGTTCTTGTAGTTTCCAGGTGTACGTACAGCTATTAAAGTAATGCACGTCAATAACTCCACCAGGTCCGGCTTCTCGAATTTGTTGTAGCTGCCGAAAGTCAGGATGGATTTGTACTGCTTGTCTGTAGCTGTTAGGGTACAGTCGCCTAAGACCTCTCCCACGGTCCCCAAAGAGACCCCCTGGAGGGCCCCCATGGGAGGTGGACGGTAGGGAAACCCTGCAGAAATGAAGGAGCTGCGGATGCCGGGGGGAACATAGTGAGGCGACCACGGGGCGGGGCAAGCAAATGCCTGCAACAAGAAAGAGGCCATGGTGTTGGGGGGCCCCCAGAGGGAAGGGGCCCCTTTCGAGGTCGCCGTTTCCATATGGTCTGCCCACGCAGCGGCAGAGGACCCCTTAAAGAAGAAAGGAAGAGGTCTCGTCAGCGCCTTTCTGTTATGCTTAGAGGTTTGGGACTTAGGAATAAATAAACATCGGATCGACTGAAAGGGGCAATGGGGGCCCCTAGGAACCGTCTCGGCAACAGTATAGGCCCCAATGCAGGTCTCCAGATGAAATTGAGATAGGAAATAAAGAAATGGATGTGAAAAAGATATTCTAGTTCTCTAGTGTATGCCGAGGTATCCAGACACCCCACCTCGCCGCATATGGGCGGGCGGCCGCCGGCTGGTTTTTTATCGGCCGCGCTGGGCAGGTGGTGCTGCTGCAGTAAGAGTTCATTGGTTCTGTTTCCCCCGATTTCAGGGGAAGACAAATTAATTTTATAAAAATGCTAGAAAAATAAAATGAATCTTGACTTCTTTTCATTTGACCCTTCAGACTGGAATTCTCCGCCTACGGTACGCAGACACCCGACGCGCTGCTGCTCCAGCAAAGGCTCATTTCTTCGCTTCTTTGGGGTTCATTTTTTATTCAAATTGACTTATGTTATACCACTTCTCGCGCGGCCCATCAGGGCATTCGGATTTCCTCTCTTCTGCCATAGCAGTCTCAGCAAATCGCTTGCCGAAATAACCAGGCTTCACCTCCCTCTCAGGCTGCCTTCAGAGGGCCCTACGGGCACGGGAAGGCCACGCTTGAGCTCACAGGTAGATGCATGAGGCGGGGGTCTCAGGGAAGGCCGAAGGAGTGGCAGTTCCGTCATAACACCACGAATGTTGCTTGAAAGTTGACAGGGATTGCATATCGTGCTCGGTTGGGTGTAAGGCATAGGGAAGGGTTTAGGACATATTGTTTAAATTGTCTTTGAAAGGGTTTGCGGTGTTTTAAGTCTGAGGGATTCAGCGGAAATAGACAGGATGGCGGTCGGTGCCCCCTGCGAAGTGGAAGACGGAGGACTCTCACCTTCCCCTGCTGCTGCTCAAGCTGCTGCTGCTGTTGCTGCAACAGCAGTAACACCCGTTACAGTGGCAGCAAAGGCGCCGGCGTTGGCAGCGGCCCCTGCAATAGAAGCATCAGATGCAGCAGACGACTTCTTCGAGGCAGTGTCTGCTCACAGGCAAGAGCAGGATCAAAGATATGCGTCAAGCAGCGCCCGTCTAGCCTCCTCCACTCCTCCCTCCGGTGTGCAGACACCGGAAGCGGAGGGTAGAGATGCGGGTCTCCAGCGCCACAGAGAGGAATCGTCAGGGGTTTTGCATTTGTCGGAGCCCTCAGAAAGAATCTTGTCGTCAGCGGGGCCCCACAGGGGGCGCCCCGTGACACCTTTAAGCAACAGGTCTTCTCAGGAGGCCCCATCTAGGGCACTCCAAAGGGCATCGCCTTCTGCCCCTTCTACTCACAGGCCTCATGGTGAGGCGCTTCCTGTGAGCCTCCAGCGCGGCCCCTCTCCCGAGGTTGTCCCCACAAGCAAAGCAGTTGAGGGGGCCCTTTGCCCCGGACAAACGGAGGCCCCCCTCCCACCCCGCCACAGCATTCAACCCTCTGAAGGGGCCCCCGTATTGGAGGCGTCAGCAGCAGAAGCGGAGTCTGCCGCCTTGGAGCCGCCGCAGACAGAGAAAAGGGTCCCCATGGGGGCCATTGAGGACACGGCCCGCTCTCGGGGGGCCCAGAGTTCTGCCCGGTCTTTGTTGTCGCCAGCGGGTAGCATAGTTGGAATGCTGCACCAAGAAGAGCAACCACAGCAGCAGCAACAGCAGCAGCAGCAGCCGCAGCAGCAGCAACAGCAGCAACGGCAGCAAATGCGAAGGCAAGCAGAAGGCAAGAGAGCGTTTCTCCCACTGAACCTACAGCGAGCTCACGATGTGGGTTTACATTGGTCGAAGCTGCTGTTTCTTGGACCTTTTGCTGCCGTTGCATTTGTTTTTGCTGTTGTGTTTCGTGCTGGTACTCTATGGGGTGTATGCGTTGTTTGTTGTGCCTGGCGTTGCTGCTGCAGCAACGCATGCAGACTATGAACATTCAGAGAGGAACCGAAGCGCTGGAGGGCCCCATAACGGTGGTAAGGCGCGCGTGCAGCCAAAGACCCGTAGTAAGGAGATGAGGGTTTATTATATGCATGCATGCGCGTACGTTTCCGTGCTCTTCTTGTTTTGGGGCTGTCCGCAGGCACCTGGCGAGGACTTATTGGACCAACTGCACAAACTGTCTACGAAAATTCAGGCGCAAGAAGACGAAAAGGTGACTTAGCATCATATGCAGCCATTTTCTCCTTGGTTGCTTATTACCTGGAAGATGATACCGGGTTTCTTAGAGGACAGAGGGGACTTCGTCCTGAAGCTTTAGGGTTTAGGGTTTGAGGTTTAGGGTGTAGCTCCGGTTTTGCTGCAGCGGGTCATGGCGGAGGAGAGTTTTCAACTGGAGCAAATCTTGAAGCGGCAGTACCATGCAGACATTCGGCAGAAGTGCGAGCAGAACAGAAAACTTGCATTGGACAACGAAACCCTCAGGCAGCAGATTGTAAGCAAACACAAACAAGAAAAGATGCATTGCAGACACACCACACGCCAGCATACGGCTGGCTTAGACTGCAAGACTGTTTTCGTAGTTCGATAGTTTCTTATTGCTTGGGTATCTCGGGTGTTTATGGTTTCTTGTTGACCGCAGCCGTTTTGTTGTTCTTCCCACTCTCTCAGCGTAACTCCTGTTCTTTTAAGACGTTATATTACTGACAAGCTCGCATTGGTAATGCGACCGTCTTTAGATTGCTTGTGCGTGGCTGTTGTTTTGGCGGTTTAGGAGAAATTAAATGCGGAGTGCGAAGGACTGAGAGGAGCTGTTGCGCTTGCTGAAGAGGTCATGGCCAGCTTCTTCCAACGGTTGATGAGGCCACGTCTCGACTTGCCAACGAACGAACCCGTCAGCCACCCTGAATGAACACAGCGTCTGCGTTTGAGTCGTACAAACCGTTGAGGTGTACATGCAGTTTACAGGCTTCACTGCACCTTCGTGCAATGGACGGCTTCGCCGACAACAATAGGGTTTAGGGCGTGGGCTTTGTTTCTGTGTGTTTGTTTCAGGAGGAGGATCTTGTCCCCTCCGTTTCTTTCTCTGACTCAGCTCTGGAGGGGCGGCTCAGTGAGGTGTTTGCGGCTTTAAGAAGCGCTTTATTTGCCGAAGTAGGCGCTCTCGACCTTCCCACACAGCAGGTAACTGCCTCAATCAAACAAGCGAGCTGGTTCTCCCACGTGTATGGAACCCAGTTATTCATAATGCCAATGATAGAGTTGTAAGATCCGGCTGTCTGTTTTTCCTTCGGATGTTTTCTGTGGCTACAGGAGGTGCAGCAGCGACTAGAAGGGGCAGCTGCCCTGTGTCGTGCGACGTCTGCTGCTGCTGCTGCGGCTGCTGCTGAGGCCTCCACCTCACCTAGACCTTTGGAAACCCTACACGATGATGCTCAAGCTGGTGTTGTGCGGCCCCTTGGGGGCGCTCGGCCTCCAGGGTTGCCCATCCCTGCTGCTGCAGCGCCAGCCGCAGCAGCGCTTGCGTCTCTGCAGCAAGAAAAGAGGGCCCTTGGGCACCCGTTCATTCATATGGAGACGCTTCCGCCCACCAGCGAGGCCCAGATAGAAAGTCTGAAGTTTCAGATCGAGAGACTCCGCGAAAACTTGGGCGCCTTCACGGAAGGACTGCTGCATGCGCACGAAAGTGAGATGAGCTAAGCCGAGCTTGCAGGTTCACTTGTGGCTGGCGAGCGGCGTCTACAGTAGTAACGGGATTTTATGATTAGGTGTTTATATTTAACCGTGTGCAGCTGTGCTGCCCTCAGCAGCAGTGTAAATACACCTCATACCTACCTGCCCGTGTCCACATAAATATGTAATTACGCATACATGCGTTTGTGCATGCACCACTGCATGCATGCTGTATGGATTCCCTTGTGTCCTTGGATGTTTTCTGCATATGCTGCAGAGCACCTGCAAACAAAAAGGCCCCCCAGCGCCGCCGCGAAGCCGGAGGGCCCCTTCGAAGGGGTGGAGGCTCCCAAGTATGTGGAAGTGCCCTCAGTAGACAAAGCCACTTCCAGGGCCCCCGTAGCCAAAGAAGTTCAACTCCCTCCTCCCGACAAGGACGTCGCCCGGGCCACACCCGCAGCAGCAGCGCAAGTACCAGTAGCAGCAGGCGCCCCAATGGGCCCCCCGGCCTATATGGGGGGCCCCTCCGTACCACCAGCAACAGTTGGGAAGACAAAGTCTTTGTGGGGTGCTGCTACCAAGCGGGAAGAAAAGGGAGCCCCTATGCTGCAGCTTCCGCCGCAGGCTGAAAGACTGCGGGGCGCTGTGTTGCGTCCTGCTGTACCTCAGTGTAGGCAGCAGCAGCAGTGTAGTCCTTGTACCGCAGAAGGGGGCTGGGGGTCCTGTCTCCCGCCTAGCGGTGCGGGGCCCTTCGATTCTTGCTGTGAAAAGCCTCCCAGACCAGGGGTGGTGTTACCACCTCTCAAGCAGCGGCAGCAACAAACCAGCAGGGGGCCCTGCGGCCGCCAGAGGTGCCCTTCTAGGGGACGTTCCTCTCTTTTGGGGCCCCCTGGGGGGTTGCCCGTCTCTGCATCTGCGGCAAGTCTGCTGCCGGCTCTGAAGCCCGCTCCAACTGCAGCAACAGCTGCTGCTGTTGCTGCTTCTCGCGCTTCCAGAGGGGGACTGATGGGTTCGGCGTCAGCGGTTGATCTCTCTGTGGTAGGGAGGCACTTAGGGCCCCCTCTGGGGGCCCCCACCCCTACTGCGTCGCTATACGCTGGTCCTAGGTACGGCCAGTATCCTGTTGCTGTTGGGGGCCTACAAGGTGGCCCTGTCTTGGGGGCCCTTCCTCTACCGCGGCGGGTACAGCAGAGAGCTGTCTTACCTGCAGCAACAACTAAGAAGCAGTGGGGTGCCTCTTCGCGCAGCAACAGCAGCAACGGCAGCGGCAAGGTGTTCAGCCGCACAAGACGCAGCTGCTCCCCCATCAAAGAGAAATGGGACGACCCGTCTTCAGCAAAGGGGGCATCCAGCGGGGGGGAAGCCGCCTCAGAGCTGCCTGGGGCTGCGCTTGCAATTGAGTCAAAGGTCAGCCCCACAGCAGCAGAGTCCACAGGAGGAGGGCCTCAAGGAGCTCGCCTAAGAAACCCCGTTCTTTTTTGGGAAGACTGGGGGCCTCCTGGGCCCCAGAGACCGACGGAGATGGGGGGCCCCCGTGGGGCTCCCTGTCCCCTTCTCGGGGGCCCTTCGCTTTATGCCGTAACACCCACCAGAGAGCTGTCACCTGTAGGGATGCCGCCTGTTGACTGGAGCAAAGGAGGGGCCTCTATGTACGCGGCAGAGAGTATGGGGGACTATGCAGGGGCCAGTGCTGCCCGAGGTGCCGTTATGAATCCCGATGCAGCAGCAGTAGCGGCAAGACTCGTTTCACCTTCATCGGCCCCCTTTGCACATTCCTACAGTCAGCCGCCCAGAAGGGCATCACCCATGGAGGCAGTTGCGCATTTGAATCAGGCTCTACTTCAGCAGCAGCAACAGCAGCAGGCGTTCATGATGTCCCTCAAATCTCCAGCAACAATAACGGCAGCTGCAGCCGCCGCATCAGCAAAAGGAGGTAATATAAGCATTCTCCGAAGCCCCCTAAATGCATACAGCCCCGTGGACTGCCGTTGCGTCACCCCTACCAGCATGAGGTCCCCTCCGCTTGCTTCGTTATCAGCTGGTCGGGGGGGTCCTCTTCTTGGGGCCCCCTCTCCACGTGGGGGGAGGAGCGGGGGCCCTTGGGGAGCATGCGGCTTGCTGAGCCCCCTTTGTTACTCTAATCCTCCTCTCAAAAGCCCCAACAGTAGCCGCAGCAGCAGCAACATCCACAACATACCGCGACAGAAAGAAGACATGGGAGATTGGGCCCAGTCGAGGCCCTGAGGTGATGTGAAGTAATCCTTGTCTGTTTCCGTCTCTGCACCCAGCGTATTCATTTAATGATTTTTGTTCGTTTAAGTCTTTGGCGTGTCATAGTAGCTGGAAACACCCCTCTGGCACTGCACGCATACAGCAGGTAAAGGGCATGACCAGACTAGTCTCTTATGGGCCCAAAACGAAAGGGCTCCCATCCCCCGCCTCGCTTGGCTAGAGGCCTCTTGTTGAGGTTATACCCCGTCTAAGCAGAAGCAAAAGGCACCTCCCCCTTCCCCACCTCCCCCAGGTGATGAAGTTTCTCAAGAAAAGCAGCTTTAAATGAAGGGTCTCTACTGTCCCCTGCAAACGGCGATAGCTCGGGGGCTGTAGGCCAATGAGGATCGACGACGGCAATCGCCCCCCGCATGTCTGGCGGCAGAGGCGCGCGCACAAGCAAACTTTCTGCTGTCCTAGGGTGAATAAAGCACACTTCAGCTGCATGCAGCAGCGGCCGAATGTGCCCCCTCCTCCCTGGAAGAGCCATGCCGGGAGCCCCGTGTTGACCCAACACTCCCAGGGGGCCCCTAGAACACCCCGACCTAAGGGCGACTGCAGAAGCAAGAAATGCACTTGTCGCGCTGGCATCTCCGTATAGAGGGTCTCCAATTAAGGGAGTTTTTAGCATTTGAAGGTGCAGTCGAATCTGATGGGTCCTCCCTGTTACGGGGGACGCCTGCACAACACTCCACTTCCCGTTGAATAAAAGAGGTTTTAATAGAGTGACGGCCCCTCGTAGCTTCCCTGAAGTGGCAACACGCGTAGCAGCTCCATGTACACCCCAGATCTGACGCGCACTCTGCATCTTGCGGCGATCGTTGGGGTCCCTCCCTATGCAGGAGGTGACTGTCATAGGCCCTTTAAGCATCCCTTGTGTAACAGCGAAATATATTTTCTTAACTCTCCTCTCTCTAAATTGTTGCCGCAAAGACGAAGCAGCATCTGCAGTCTTAGCTAGAAGCAAGACACCAGACGTCCCTTGATCTAATCGGTGTACGACGGCATCCTGTCCAAGAGTTAGTTGGCCTTCCATGGGTTCTCCTGAGCCAAGCTCGAGGGGTTCCCTGCCGTCGGGGGTGGCCATCCCATCAGAGGCTGCGGGAAGACTCCGCAAGGTCTCCGGAATCAGAAAAGAATCGCCCAGGGCTTTGTAGTGAGCTAAAACGCGTTCGATTACCGAGTCTGTCTTCGTCGCTGTTGGCCTCTGGGAGGTTGCTGAACACGCAGTTACCAGCACAAGCCACACAGCAGCAATACGAAGACAGGAGCAGAAAACATATTCGGCACAATGCTAACAGCAATATTGCAAATGAAGAGGCTAAAGTAATGCTGGCTTGAGTAGAGGCAAGAAAAGCGGAATTGTGTACCTGAGTTAGCGGGGGAAGGTACAACGCGTATTCCTGCGGGTTTGTTCAGCGCGATTACCGCGTCGTCCTCGTGCAGAATGTCCATCCCCCCAATGCATTTCGCAGTGCTCTCTGTCGTTTTTCTTTTAGGGCGACAGTTTGTGTGGACATTTTCTGATTCCTTCGGGGAGTGCGCAGGTGACGCCGGCACAGCAGAACTCCACAGGGGCCAGGCACTGCTGACACTGAAACGACCCTGCAGTGGAGGTACTCTGAAGGGATATATACCTTTTACTTGGTACTGATCCTGCCAGGATAAGGCGTAAGGAGCAGAGAAGAAGAGAGGGATGAATGTGGTAACAAGACAGCGCAGAGTTTTCATGGGTTGGCTTCAACAACCGCACAGACAGCAATACGGAGAGTTTAGACGCATCTCAAGAACAACTCAACGCATACCCACAACACACAGCTGAAGCCATTTCGTCTGCAAATCTCGGATAACCTTCCAACTCACGGCATAGGCAACAGTTTCTGCAGCTGAACGCCGTATCTTGACAGCCACTGTCGATGGCGCGGAGGCGAGGCAGGCGCCACAAACCACAAGTCTACATGATAGTCAACAAATAAAAAAAGTAAATTGGCATGGAAGATTCCGACGATTCGGGCATCACACTGATCTACGCACTGGCGAAAAGCGTGAGCGTAGGTTCATCTAGCTCTGGCGGTGGAGTCTCCCTCTTCTTTATGGCAATTCAATGGCCATCATTAATAAACACTAAACGGTTTCATAGAAATTATGATGATGTCGGATATCCAGCGTCTGACTTCAACAAGAAGAGGTTGAGGGCCCTCAGACTTGCATGTGACGGCCCCGTCGACGGTTCAGTGGCTGCGGCGGAGCCGGGCTGCGATGCATTGCGGAGAAAGTACCTCGCAAATGAACGATGGACCATTTATGAACCCTCTTTATGATGCGAATTTGGAATTAACACTTTCCTGTAGATTGTCGAGCAGGAGACCCGTTCATTGGTGAACCAGTGAGTGACGTTTATGCAGCGCAGTACGCAGTCACAGAATTTATGTCTGTAATTACTTCCGAGGCCAGATGCTCCTTGGAAGGCTATGTTTCGAGCCATTGCGAATTCACTTCTTTGGAAAACTTGGTATGAATCGGCTTAATCCACCACTGACAGTCCACATTTGCGTGGAAATGGCCGTGGCCTTCTGCTCGTGGGGAGCTGCTCCGTGGGCGCACACATTTGCAACTGCAATTAAATGATAGTTGTCCGCTCTTCCTTCCTACAGGCTACCCAGGGAGAAGGTTGCTTCCTCTCGTGGCCCGCGCGGGGCTCCAAAACACTCAACGCCCCCTGCGCTTACCAGCGTTTCCACGCGATGCACACGCTTTGTGGAATAGCTGTCGCTTCGCAGACTGGAGCTTAAATGGTATATGCATGATTTTTTGAGTTTTACACTTGAGGAGAGTAAATGTAGATGGAATTGCACCGATGCACTGCAGCAATCTCTCCTTCCGCGTCTTTAATTCCCTACTGATTCTGAGAGCACCGTTGCCACCGTTGCTCCATGAAGGTCAGGAACGGTGAGAGCCACGTACAACTATGAATACGGGCATCTGCTTTTGGCAGCTTCGATGCTTCTCAGGGAGTTCACGCAAGCTGGAAATATTCCTTTTCCTGTGACACCTTAACGATTTCCAGTTTACAATTTTGAGATACGAAGTGCACTGACTCGGTTCATAAATGTGCAGCTGCAGTAGAGCATAGGATTTTCTGAGCAGATAAGATAGCCCCTACCTCTTCGACTTCTGTTTGGAAGGGAATTCGCCACCGAATAATTCCCCGCCAGTTGCAGCATCTTCGCTGTCTCCTTGTCCACCTCACCTGAAATCTTCATTTGACGAGCAAGGCTGGAGGTACCACCTCGCCTGAAATCTTCACTAGACAAGCAAGGCTGGCCTCGTGCACTTCTTGCTCACTTCAGCGATTCTCTCTGTTTATCACTGGCTTGCAACTCCAGGCTGAAGCCTCCATGCAAAAGTGCTTGAAAGATATGAATGTGGCCGGTGCCACTTTTTGGGGGGAACGGGGAGCGGGAAAATCTTCAAGTTGAACACAGTAAGCTGCACGCATGCGGCCAGTGCATCTAATGAAAGATACTAAATGAATTACTACACGCTCGTCAAGCCTCGGTAGAGTGCGGCGTGCCTCAGGTTCCTCCTCTGAAGTGTGTTGCAGCTATGCTGTTGCCTAGCTCGTGAATACCCGATTTGTGTCTAGCGAGTGAGGCGGGCTTCTCGAGGCCCATGGAGTTTTGAAAAATATCTTTGCAGTTATCAATTCTCTAACGTACTTGAGCTTTCCCGAGATGGCTAGCAAGACATTAAGTGTACCACCAGCGAAACCCTCCATATAGCCCATTCGGCTTGAAGAAGCAAAACCCCACAACACTGCATCTTCGTGCATTTCGGGTTGCCTTCATGAAGGAGGCGTTTAAACGCTGCTCCCTACATCCTTTCAAGCACTTCTAGTAGCTGCCCCTCCCCGGCTCCCTGTAATCATTAAACGTTAGTGTACAACTCGTTTGCCCTTGCATAGTTCTGCTCCTCCATACCCTACCCATTGCTCGTGATGCTGAAGAAAGTGCGAGGAGTTATCTTCTGGTATGACGGAATACTAGACAACGTTTTGAAACAGAGCATGTGGGTGCTCCTGAAATGAAGTGTTTGTGCATCCCACAGATGCAGCCCTTCTCGAATGTTTGCGGTAGTAAATACAACTAATAAACACAGTTAGTCTTAATCGGCCCTTCCGAAAAGTGCTGCGTTCATCCAGAGCCAGCAGTTTGGGGCTTTGGTTTGCTGTGCAGCAGAACTACAGCGCACCATTCATGCACGGATAGTGCTGCCCACTCTTAATTACTTAGGCGTATACCAACCAGTGTGCATCGAGAATCCCGACAGTCAGTCCATCTTCATATTCAAAGCAACTGGCAATCCCTGGGCTAACCAAATGCAGAAATGGCTGGTGTTAAGCGCAAGTAGAGCTAAACTTACGAAACAAGGTTTGGGTAGCACACAACGCAAGAAAGAACATACGAGGTTGACTGCTCAGAAGAAATCGTTAATAATAGGCCCTTATCCACAAACGTTGAACTTAGTTACCACCTTCGTATTTCACAGACTTGGGTCAACAGTGGGAAAAAGGCGAATGCCAAACTACCGATGCACCCAGAGGAATCCGAAGACAGCTGAGTCATTAGAGCTCTGCTTGAATTCCGGCCGGCTTCAAAATTCAGGTCCTCACTCCACCTGAACCCTAAAACTGCCATTCCATGGACTAATCTGGGGGGATATCGACTCGCATGCCGATTTGCCGTGCTGCTGCTCAACTGGTGGGTTGCCAACTACTGCACGGCATGCTCAGATTCCTTTCTAATAACAGTTTCAAGCACGCTTGAGGGCTCCTGCGTTGGCTGTATGCAGAGCTCAGTAAACTAAATGCTATGTAGTAATATACTTACTATCAGAGACCCTAGTGGCTCGCTGTGGACTCCCAGTACTCACGCCATAAACGAATGGCAATGAAACCGCCCCCTCATTTACATGTCTTTCCAAAATAACGTCCCGCAGCCCATGTAAACTTCCACTGCTTTACAGGGAAACGGAGAAAAAAAGAGATAGCTTGCCTCGAGTCGGCCTGCCTCTGGCAGGGACCAACGCGAAACAGCTTACCTACCCGACCTTCTGGGTCCACGTGCTCACAGGAAAAAAACCAAACAAAAAGAGTGCTCATTCGCCAACACAATTTAAAGGTGCCCAACCAGGCTACTGAAAAGTACTGCTGAGAGCAGCCACCAAGCTAAGCATCAGCAGCAAAGTGGACGCAGATCTATCTCAAACATGGCCTTCTTCTTCATCATCTTCATCATTTGCATCATCCTGATCTTCTGTGGAAAGCCCCAACTCTCGCATCAACAGTTGCTCCACCTACGCCCGCAGCACAGTCGATAAAACATCTGAATGGTTTGGCTGTTGCGAAGCTTCTGCCCTCCTGTGGCTTGCAATGCGCTACAGCCTCGAAGAATAAAGTTGACTCAATTCAGCTCGCTAGCTTACCGCATCTCGCTGTTGAACAAGCACAAGCCGCTGCAGCCGTTCGCGCAGGCTGAGTCGCAGGCCGCATGCAAGCAATGATAACGGCAGAAACAACATCAAAGAGAAGAAGCGCATTGCTTCGGCGGGTTCGCAATCACTTCGGCACAGCAGTCAGGCACACCACGTCAATCAAACCATTCATCTGGAACGTACTTGCGATGCTTGTACACGTGGAACGACAGAGCCACCGCACAGGTCAGTGGAAGAGCTAAAAAAACGAAGAGGATAAAACAAACGAGCAACGTCGCATCCGCCGAGTCTGTACAAACAAACATGCCGAGGCAGAAACCCGTGGTGACTAGCCTGGCACACTGGACCAACTCCCTCATCCCTCTGCATGCTCCCTACACTTTTGTATAGTCGATGGAAGCCCATTCATCTACAAGAGTCCCAAAAAACTGGAGTTGCGGGCAGTTTCAGCACCAAACCCACCGATGACAAATCGCACCTCCCCCATGAACATCCCGAACGGCTGTTCTTCATTCGGATAAAAACAAACGTGCATGCGGGCAGTCGGGTGGTGCCCAGGAACCGCATCAAATAGAGCATCGCTGTTGTCCACTCCATCCCTCAACGCACTGCCGAACCTGAAAGCACGCGCATCCGGCACACCCAGCCACTCATTTTCGTAAGCAAGGGGAGTCAAAGACCCCTCCTTTAAGATGCATCTACGATTGATAAAATCAAGAATGCATGTATATATATATATATATATGGCATGTATCTGGTGAGCAGGCATGTATATGAAATATGCCTGTTCATCTCTACCGTCAAGGTCTGCTACTCCAGCTCGCTATGCAGCTAATGTTGGGCAAGAACTAAAAATGTGACTACCTCAGGAAACACTTAAGCTTAACTCTTCACCCAGTGCGAACTTCAGGTGTATGCGTACACAAATCTCAGCGTGCCCTTTTCAGTCGCTTCATCCCATGAATACGCATCCGGCGCCACACTCAGTAAACTGTGCTCGTCCCAGAATCCTGCATGAAAAGCAAAAACAGAAAGGCCCACTAAGCCGATAGCCAGAAAGCAACGCAGCTATAAGCATACTGCTAATACTGTGGAAGCAGTATTACGCAGCCATCTGTACCAAGCGTCTTTAAAATAGAAGAAACCGAGGAAGAGAACGTAAGATGACTCACCGACGCAAGGCTGAGTAATCCCCCCTCGGGATTCCTTAATGGCCAGCCGGTTGAAGCGAGAAACATTTACGCCTTCTGCCACCAGAAAGCAGCACAGAAACAGCACGCACTTCACAGCTTCCCCTCCGGTTTCGGAGTCATGACATGCAGCCTGTTGCCTCGGAAAGGCTGGACTATAGTGGATCAAGTGAAAAAAACACCAATAGAAGAAGACCGCCTACCGCTATCTCAATTGGGCACCAATGGCTGCAGATGCATTCTTTCGTACACAAAAGAGTGTGAGTCACGAATCAAACCTACGGATATACCGAGTATAGATCCACCCAGCATCAATAAAGTGACGAATTTGAATGGCTTCTGGTTCGCCCTGTGGGTTGTCGTCTGCCTGCGATGCAACTGCAGGAGAGAGGTGAAACTTCAGTTCCCCGACAAGCGTAGCTTCTGAAAACTCATTGCCTGTTTGCTTTTCTTTCTCGCTTCCTTCCCTCGATTCATTTACTTCTTTTCTCCCGTCCCTCTGCAACTCCAGTTCTCCCTTGTCAACTACAGTCTCCCTTTGCTTTTCTCCCGGAAGCTGAGCTGAAGAGGCCGTTGCGGCTTCATGGCTCCCCCTGTCGCCTGTAGGCTTTTTGTCCTGAGCCCCTTCTTTTCCCTTGAGCCTGTTCAAAAGGCAGACCCCAACTCGCCACTTCGGTGGCGCTTCTTCGAACGTTTCTGCAGAGAGCGAAAACGAGAGAACACGAGCACGTGGTGCTCCTACACGAAGCATTGCCTTTGGCTTGGAGGTAGGTAAACAACCTTCGAAATAATGATTAGAACCTGATGCAAAGCAAAGAAGGAAGAAACGCACCCAGAGAACAGCAGCAGTGCAAGCGCTTACCGGGCACTGCAGCAAGACGACGCGCTTCCACGCCGCGAAAGGCTGAGGCTTCCTGCTGCTTCTCCGGAACTGCCACCTCGGCTTGTTCGTTTGCTGCTGCCTCTTGTGCTTTTTTCGTTACATGTGAAGAAGAGCCCCCTCCTGATTCATCTGCGCTGTGCTTTGTTTCGTGCGGTTCTTCCCAGATTTCTACGCTGTAGTCAAGAGCCGCCAGCACTTTATTGATCTTCTCCTGCGATATTGAGAAGGTGAGGTACTTCGCTAGACGGCTCAGCTGAAGCTCAGGGCCACAAGAAAGCCAAAAGGGGTCCGGCGCAGAAGCGGCGTTCCTCCTCTCGAAAGCATGTTGCTGCGCGTCCTCGCAGGAGTCGGGAACTTCAGCAGCGGTTGCAGCTGCTGGGTCTGCAGTAGCATCCGACAGGCCCCTCTCTCTGACTGGCAGTTTGATTAAGGCAATGCAGGATTGCTCCATAGGAGACGAGGTGATTGTTTGCCGCCAATACAAAACAGGATGCGACAGTCTAGGCTGCCGAGCTGCGCTCATGCGTGCAGTAAACAACGTTGGCTGCCGAGGTGGTGGCACTGAGATGGAGTCCGGGTGTCCCGGGGACGCTGCATTTGCGCCTTCGACCGCTGGCTTACGCTCAAGGGAAGGAACAGCAGCATCTCTGCTTAACAACAAGTTCATCCCGCGGGAGTAAGAGGTCCACCGACCGAATATGCGGATGAAGTGCGGGTCATCCATGGAGCCTCCCTTCGCGTGCGTTTGCAAGAGACTCGTTTTGCCACCTTCTTCCTCTTCAGTCGAGGAAGGAGAAGAGGATGAATCCGTCAACGCGTTCTTCTGTTTCATCATCTCGCGACGGTCTCGGGCCATCGTGCGGCGCAAGAAGAAGTCAGGAGGGATGTCCATCGGGAAACTTTGGTTCAACAGGGGTCCCTGGGGACCCTCAAACGAATGGAACTCTACATGAGGTCTGCCACCCCCCTCACTGTCGCAGCGAACGATTTCGCCACCAACAGCGAGGGGCATGCTGCACGTGCCGTATGAAATAGCGCGAAACGCAGGTCCTCCATCACCCCCGTCTTCACGGGCAACGAGGGAGGCCGTCTGCTGCTGGTGCAACGCATCTGCCGTTGAAGCTCCTTCAACACCAACAGGAGAAGAGGGGCTGGAGGAGGCCTCTGCGGCGGCTGCTGCGAGCGGTGAGGCGGCTGCGTTTGCGCAGTTCAGTCCAATCGTCCACTCACGGGATGTCCCATCGAGATCCACCAAAAACGCCAAAGTAGCCACGGCACGTAGAACAACACGCAGCTGAAATATAATTCTCGATGAAACGCCTTTGTCTTTTGCCGCTGCTAAGCGGCACATGCCGCCAGGAGGAAGCATATGTGGAGCGCTGGCCGGAGGCGGAGCTTGCGTGAACTGTTCAGCAGCTTCACCCCCTACAGATGACTGAAATTCAGCTCATTCTCCGGAGACTATGTCTTCTGAAACTTCCTAAAGGCGCCAATCTGCAGTGAAACTTGCAACGCGCAGTTGGCCTAGTGGCAGCGGGCGCCGCCGGACCAGGAATCGAGGGGCGGGCGCAGGAGAAGGAACAAGGCCTATTCACCCCAAAATTCTTGGAAAATAACGACGAAATAAACCCTAGTTTCCAACCTAGCGATCGTTTCTTCTTCCATTCGATGCCTAAGACAAGCGTCTGTCTGATCTCGTGCGCATGCAGCTTCCACGCGTGGTCTTCTGGCTGGTTCCGCCTGCCTTTCTCCTCACCGTTAGTTCGTGTTAACTTCAAATTGTTTCTAGTTGTATTTACGCTTGCATCATGGATCGCTGAGACATATTGCCTTAGAATATATATTTACTTATGTCGCGTTTGGATGCGCGAACTGGTGGCGTTCAATGGCGAGGCCAGGGGGGCAGATCCCAGCAGTTCTTGTGGGGCTCAGCTTCGCATCTGCCGTCGTTCTGGCGTACGTATTGCTGAAACGGCTGCGATCGTCCAGGGGGAGCAGGGGGGAGCAGACGCTTTCTTACAACTGCACGGCAAACCCTTCGGAGTGTGCAGTGGCAGTAAGCCAATCAACCGCGTCCACAGTAGTGGCGACGTGAGGGAGACTGCACAGAAGTAGACCTTCATACCAAAGAAGGCAATGGATATATGCGAAATAACGCTTCGTGTGGAACGGTTGATGAAGTAGAATTCTTCCTACATTGGCACACATAATGGGCGGGGTTGCAATACGTTAATTGAACCACAGCTCCACAGTGCTCACATTGCACACAAACTCTGACTCTTCTTTGCTTCTTTGTTTTTGCCTTCGAGGAGGAGAGTTCAATCTCACTGTGTGAGAGAGCAAAGAGATTCGAAGAGGCAAGGGGAGCAGTTGAAGTCGCTGCTGGCAATTTGGGCAGCACTTCTCTCCTGCAGCTTTACGGTTCGTTCCCCTTGCCTCTGCCTTCCCTTCTGGCTGTCTGTGCGGCATTTGGAAACGGCAGCTATATGAGCATTAACAAATCTATATTTTTACATTTTTAAAAGTGGATATTGAAATACTGTAGCCTCCTTTGCAGCTTTTCTCTAGTTGACAACGCTGCTGCTTATCCTGCAGGGCTGTTCAAACAGGCGACGCAGGGCGACTGTGACCAGAAGGAACCCTCGGTTTTCTCTGTGCAAAGCCACGCCAAATGGTACTGCATTTGCCTGCTTCCTTTTCAGACTCTTTTCTTGTGGAATGGCTGAGGTGTCTCTCGGGATGTTCTACTTCGTCTGTCATAAGAAGGCAGTTGAATTTAGTGCAGAAACCAACGGATGCAGTGCGCCTGCTGCTTTCAGGGCCGCTTGGCACGGGCACAAAGGACTGTGTTCTGATGTAGCCAAGGCGAAGTACGTAGATTTGGCGCTGCACCTCGGACTGATCCCGCCTCGAGAAGTGAAGGGTTCAGCAGCAAAGGCAGGGGGAGCACGAGTAAGCAGAGCCATTCTTCTGTATACACTCTCCGTACACCTGCACCTATTACTTCTTTCCTACGGGTTCTCGTTACTATAGTTTGGAATTTTCCTACTGCACACGTGGCGGTACAGATTTTTATTTGCTGCTGAGCCCTTCTACTTCGAGGCCAGACCGACGAATTCTTCGTCTCAAGCCTGTTAATGAGCTATTAATACAGCGTTATTATTTATACTTATAAATCGTATATATATATATACGATTTATACATACTATGCATGGAATACATTTATAGGTGCTCGGTTAGGCTTACTGCCTGTGTGGAGCGCGCCTCTTTTGCAGTTAGGGCCGGTGTTCAGCAGGCCAACTTTGAGTGGAGATGGAGGCTACAACACGAGGTACGGGTTTATTCAGTTTACTGAAATCGACGGCGCTACAGCTGAAGAGTGTTCTTCCTACTCCTGCCTAATCATTCTGCCTTCTCAGCCTCTTCGTTTGCCAGTTAGCTGCTAGTAGATTGGCCATTGCAGAGGGAGTCATAACCCAGTGAATATCATACAAGTTTGAGCGGGATGGAAAGCAAATGCCCGCTGCTCTTTATTCGCTTTGGGTTCGGCGCTGCAGCTCAAAGGGAGACAGCTTCTGCTGCATGGTTGCTGAGGGCAAGTTTAACGCCGTCCGTGAGGCATTAATGGGTAAGTCAATTGTTAAGTGAAGTCATGAACAGCAGTAGCAGCAGCAGCTGTTCCCAAAGAGTTGCTTTTGCTCGATTGCGCCGATTGCAATTCGACTAATACGGGAAAGAATGCTCTCGTCCTTTGTTATATTTCAGCTGCAGGAAGTTCTGTTCTCCGTATATTGGTGTACGCTGATTCTTGCGTGCAGAAGACCCTTCTTTGGTGCATGCGACGGGTGAAGGGGGAATGACGGGGCTTCATTTTGCGGCGGACAGGTGGGCCCACGCCTTGTAGACTCCTCGTGCCGTGTGTTGCACACCTTTAAGCTCTTGTTGTGTCGTTAATTTGTTTGTTTTTATTGCTGTTGCTTTGCTATGCCGTTTTGGTTCTGTTTCGTTGTTGCTTTGTTTTTATTGCTTTTGCTTGTTGCTTTGATGCGGGGAAGCGCTGATCGGAGCTGGTCCGGGAAACAGAGACAAATTCCGGGGGTGCCCTGGCCGCCACACTGATAAGGAGATGTAGTGCAGTGAAGGAGAAAATGATGCAATGGAGGAGAAGGGGCAGAGAAGGTAGATGCAAGGGTGCACCTGGGGTATGAATGAATGCGTTCGCTCAGAGGGCATGCTGATATCGCCAGGATGCTTCTTGAATGCGGTGAGAATCAAGTGGTGTAGTTAGTCCTGCACTCACCGTTGTTTAGGTTTTTTTCTCTTGCTATTTGTGGTATGAGCGTTCCTTGATTCTTGCGACTTGTTCAAAAGTGCAATCAACCAGAGTCTCGTTGCAGCGTCGGCGTCTGCACGCCGTTCTGAACTGTTTACATGCTTCTCGCCAGCAGACAGTGTTGGGCTATGGGTTCATCAATCTAAATCAGTGAAAATGAATGAAGATGAATGGAGATGAATGGGCATGATGCGCTGTGCACAGGCGCGAAGGTGAATCTCCAGGACGAGTGCGGGGAAACTCCTCTGCACGTTGCACTTGCAGCGGAGCAGCAGGAGCTGATCTCGATATTGATTGAGGCCGGGGCAGACACGTCTCTCAAGAACAGTGAGGGAAACAGTTGTGCCGATTTGCTGAAGGAGGAAGAACACAGGTACGCAGCGACTGTCACTTCACTCAAAGGCTGCACAAGGGCTCCAACACCTCCAGCGGTTGCCGCAATAGCGAAATAGAACAAAATGAACTAGTACAGAGTTGGGGGTGGGAGTGCGTCAATAAACGAGGCAGCGAAGCTGCTTTATTGCAAGCATAGAGAGGAGTGAAGCGTGCATTAAAGATACCAAGGACCGTGGCTGAACACCGTTACAGTGTTGAAGAAAGCAATGCTCTAGAATGGCGATTTTTGTCAATGGAGATAGGTTGACACATCATCGATACCCCAGGGTGATGCGCAGGGGTTTGCCTTCTGTGTCATGGTGCTGCGGACGTCAGATTGAAGGACAGAGGGCAAGAAGACAGCGCCAAATGACCAGCACCCTACCTTCCGAAAGGGAGGAGTAGAGTAGTATCGCCGGCCCTGTGTGACTCAGCTCCATCTCCATAGACGCATGTCGGGTTAGGAGTGGGTGCAGCTGTCGACTTCCCCCTTGCACGCACATGAGCGGTTGATGACATCAGGGGAAGTGCACTGGCCTGACTGTCTACTCTCACCCGTGTCAACGCACGTGGCCGCCTTCTACATTATCCAAACGAATATGAATTTCATGCCTTTATTTAGGTTCTGACTTGTTGTTTAAGTCGGCTTTCAACCCAACTGCAGATGCATGTTGCTGAAGGAGCGTAAGTAGGCGCTGCATAGGACAGGGTGTGCCTATATACCTTCCCTTTGGCTTCTGCTTCTCGTTACAAAGATTGTTCAGTATGGTAAAATAAACTGCATGCTTATGCAATATGTCATGCATCCGCCTCGCTTGAGGCATTCTGCAGTAGCGCCCCACTCTAATGGCCCATAGAAGCGAATGCCTCCAATTGTCTTCTTCAGTGTTGAAGAAGCAAGAAAATCCGACAATTTCGCCGTCGCCTCCACTTCTGCATGCATAGACAAATTAAAATGAGCGGCCCGATGAACCTTCTCCAATTTGCCTCTGAGGCCGTCTCCTTGACGCATCACGAAAAACGATGGCCGTGCAGGAAGGAATAGAAACAATAAAGTGCTTCTGCAACGCAGTACTTCCATGCACGCATGGCGAACCTTCCGTAGCTATCCTTGTGAATGGCTACGCCTCCTACGTTGGGTTTCGTCCCGTATTTCGAGCTGCACTTCTCCTCGTTTCTGACGGATCCACCCGGATATACTCGCAGCATCCACAGGGTCCGCCAGTGGTTTTAAAAACTGCGTCCTTCCGCCGATCGTTACGACGGCGTCGGGGCCTCCTTGTCTCTCTGCATCAGCTAATGCCTCCCTTTCAGTTACAGTTGTATTCTTGGTTTATTCAGACACTTGTTGCAGTGCGTTGCATTACTATATATCGAATGTGTACAGTGGGTGTCTCTAGGGATGAACTCGGCGGGGATGCATTGGAAAGCGTTGTGATCGTCGCTGCTTCGTCTGTACTTACGTTATATTAATTAAAATTAATTGTTTTAATGGGTCTTCTGACTCGATTGCAACTCAGTACAGCTCCGTGCGTTTCTAGGGAGGCCCTTCACCGTTTGTTGCGCAGGAGGGGGTCAGCACTCTGCAGCAGGGCACAGCTGATCATTCGGGGTATTGTGAGGATAATATCTTCCTTTCCCCCAATGCATAATAATCAAGGAATAAATAAATAAATTGTTGTGTAACGACGGCAGATCATAGTTCAAATGAGACACCAACGGGGCACCAACAACACATCTTCCCCCCCTCTGTCGTGGGGATGATGTGGAGGCGGGCCAGAAGACAGCTGCTGCGCAGCTGTAGTGTGAAGCCGAGGAAGAGACGTTGAATAAAAGAGCAGCTTATTTATTAAACATTAATACGCATTTAAATTTTAAATAATTGAAAAGGAAAAGGAAAAGGAACAACAACATATTTTCCTCCCAGTGCTGTTGAGTGGTTCAGCTTTTTTTTGCAGGGTTTCTATCTTGCACTGGGGGGCCGTTTGCTGTGTAGACCTCTTTCTGGGCAAACCATTTGTGTGAAGAAAAAAACGGCAGAACGGAAGTGTATTTGAATTAGATGTCTTCAGAAGACAATACCAACGCAAACTACAGGAATAAATAGACATTCATTGCAAAAGAGGACCCAAAAACAAGGATGAGAGGGTTGTTTGTTGCACCGAGTCTTTCGTTGTGTTCTCTGTTGCGTCCTGTAGGCAGCTGGGGGCCAGGCAAGGGATTCGTCTTACACCATTTTCAGGGCTTTCCTTTCCTTTCTTTATTAGTTGTATTTACAGCGTAGCAGCAACATCTTTTAATGCCTAAAATTGCTGTGTTGTGTCTTCTTCTCTCTCCGGGTCCTGAGGGAGCGAGCAGGGATCCAACAGACCCCGCGACTCGGTGGTTGTGTCCGCGTGCTTGTTTGTATTTCTGTGCAAGTTGAACATTGTTGGGTAGAAGTGATCATTTGCCTTCATTTACCCTTTGAGCTGCTGCTCTCAGCTGTCTGTACACCCCAGCTGGCCCCCTAGGTGTAGCCTGAAACCAGGCTCAGTTGCCACTGCGGTCGACAGGGGGAAAGCAAGCAGAGTTCAGTTTGCTTTAAATAAATTGCACGCGGATGCAACGAAAGACACCTTCGACGCGCCCCTACAATGGAGGCCGCAGAGGGCTCTCTTTCCTCGTCTTTTTGGGGGCTGCCTGCATTTTGTTTAACTCTTAAAAACCCTCTTTCTTTCCTCTCTAGAGCAGAAAAAAAACATCTCCTGCCCATATTGAAACTCCTGAAGATCGTTTCGTTGCTTGAGGAGCCGCTTAAATGGATCGCTTGGGGGGCATTTGCCGGTAGGCCTGTAAACCCTGTACCCTTTTATTATCATCTGTGGCTTTCTTGTAGAGTTTACTCTTCGTGCTTCACCGTCTACGCCCTAAACGCCTTCCCTCTTCGCGTTCACAGCCCTGTACCTCCTTTTTCTTTCTAAACAAAACGTAAATGCCTTCAAGGTGGCTGCTGCCTTCGTTATGTGTATTTCAGTGGAGTGTGGCTGCTGCCTGCTGCAGCTTCTGTTCTCCGTGCTTTGTGTGTGTAGTGTGTGCACACATATATAAAAATGTATGCATCATGGTTCTTGTATATGCATGTATCCATCCATCCACACACATACACATATACATGCACACACACATACATATATGTATATATATATGTGTGTGTGTGTGTGCGTGTATATATATATATATAATATTAATATATAGGTATATATAATATATATAAACCAGGTTTTGTGGTAGGCCTGGCGTTGTTGGTTCGTTCTGTTTTTCCATTGCATACTCTTTTTTTTTGTGTTGGTGTTTTGCAGCGCTGACGGTGTTATCGTTTTGGCTTGAAGACAGTGTTGAGCTTTCGCTTTCTTTGTTGCTGTTGTTGATTTCTTCTTTTCTCGGAGTCCGATGGAACAAGGGGAACAGCTTCTTCTTTCCTTACTTTTGCATCTTTGCATGCAGCGCAGGAGGCAGCAGCAGCAGCGCCCAGCTCTCCTCACTGCCTGTGAGGCCTTACTTAAGCACTTTAAGGGTTTAAGAGTTTAGGGTTTAGGCTTCAGAGGCATTGAGCAGCAGGGTTCAGGGTTTAGTGTTTGGGGTTGGCCGGCCTAAAGCAACAGTTACGTTTAGGGCTCTCGGTTTAGTGTTTTAGGGTTTAGGTTTTTAGAGGTGTATGATTCGGGCGTAGGGTTGGGTTTCGGGGCTGGGTTTCATCTGCCTTCAGCTGCAAGATTTAGGGTTTAGGGTTTGGGGTGTAGGGTTTGCATGGGTTCTGCATGCAGTCGGTGGCTGAGCTTGGCGCTCTGCTCAGCGCTGCGCTGCTGACGCATTTTTCTTCGTGTTGTTCAAACAGCAACAGGAGAGACAAAACGGTTGCCGGTTTGGTGCTTTTCAGAGTGAGAGAAACAAAACATGATGCTGTCTAAGAATATATTTAGTTATATTTAATTGTATTTATGTTTAGTTGTTTTTATTCCCATATGAATTTCTATCTCTGCCCGTTGCATATAATTCAGTTCTCAAGTGTAATTGTAATTTATTTTAATTCTTATGTGTGCCTTTACGTGTATTTGTACTTGTCTTTGTGTATTTATGCATGTATTTGCATAAAGACAGACGAATAGACTTAAAGACAACACATATTCTCCAAGACACATATGCACATGAAGACAAGCACATACTAAGTTTTTGTGTGGGAGGCATACAAGTATAATAGTGTGTTTTTATTTCTTCAGTCGTATATATTTTGATTACAGAACAAATAGTTTTTTTTTGTTTGTCTTAAAATAATATTCACTTATTTAGTTGGTGCTGCTTAAATGCCTCCGGCTGTACACATCCCAGACAAGATAGGAAGACATATTTTCTTTGCTTTCCATAATAACCATATTCAGATGGAAATAAAGTGTTGAATTCCTGTCTCCAGGTGTATTCGTTTGTATGTACATCTATCTCCATGCTTGTATATACTTGTCTGTATGCATGTTTGTCTGTCGTTCGGTGCATTTATTTCTCTTTATGCATTTTTGTTCGCGTTGAGGTGTATTTGTTTGTGTTTTCTGTTAGTTGTTGCGATTTGTATGTGCTAGCATTGTCTGGTATTGGCTCTGCATTATATTTATTTGTTTATTTGGAGATGTTTGAATTTGCATTCATTAATCCTTAGCTGTCCTCTTTGTTTGTGTTATGGGGATGCTATCAGGTGGCCTTACGCCGTTTCAGCTTCTGTTTGCCGCCTCCTCTTGTATCTTTTTGTCAGTTTTTTCCTGTTCTTCTTTGTCTTTACCGTTGGGCACCATCACGTACAGGGAGAGAAAGAGAAGGGGCCCTGGAGGCCTCAGAGGAGCTGCCCTGTGAAGGGGTTTGGAGTATCTCTAGCTTGACTCACTCTCTTCGTCTTGTCGCAGCATTGACAGAAGGTTGCGTCATTATTTGCAACGAGCGCCGCCGCATCCTTTGGGCATTTCCTATTGCTTCAGCGGAGCAGTGGGGGCCCCTAAGGGGCCCCCTGTTGGAGGCCCTAGGGGGCCCCTCCAGCAGCACGCAGGGAGCAGGAGAAGTTCTATGTGAAGATTTGGTACATCCTGAAGACCGCAAGGCACTTATTAAAGCATTTGAGATAGCAGGAGAGCAAAGGAAGAAGAAAGAGGGGCAGGAGCCGTTAAAAGAAGGGGAGGGACAGCAGCAGATGCTGCTAGGAGCAGAAAAAGAAGGACCTCCAGAGACTCCTGTAGTGTTGGTGCGATCGAACACATGCAAGGAGGAGGCAGGGGGAGCGAGGCTGTTTCGGGTGTCAGTGAGCGGCTGCTGTGGCTCCTCTTCTCTCTTTGTTTGTTTGTGGAATGATGCAACGAGACAGAGACGCAGCGCAGCAGTACAGGAGGCGCTCGTGTACGGTTTATCCGACTGTATGTCCACTGTTGTTTGGGTGGTTGACCCGGCAGCAGCTACGGATCAAGCAGACCCTGCAACAGCTGCTGCTGTTGTGCGAGAAGAGGCAGCAGCAGCAGCAGCAGCAGTAGAAGGAGCAGCAGCCGCATCAGCACCGATCCTTCCATCGGGTTCTGAGATAGATCAAGGGGGCCCCTCAGAGTCTGATGGGGTACTTGAGGGTGGCGATAGCAGCAGCAGAGAGAAAACAGACCCAGAGATGAGTGGAACAGCTTACGATGAGGGGTCTTCTGGCACGGGTATGCCTGAACCTTCTTTGTTTTCAGAGGGCCAGCAGCAAGAGCGTTGCTACACCGAACTTGCTGCGGTGTCTCCGCGTCTCATGTGCAGCTGCATAAGCAGAAGCAGCAGCGGAAGCAACGAAGGAGAAGAGGCTGCTGCTTCATCTAGCGGCGGTGCCTCTTCTTTCTTGCGCGCCTCCTCTTCAGGTGTATCCTCAACTCATCCCGCTGCAAATGAACCCCCTGTAGCTCCAGCTTCTCTCTGCCCTTCAGTCTATCAGACTCAGCTCGATGTCGTTACAGCTGATAGAGAAGGGCTTCGGCAGCCTCCTCCTGTCTCATGGGCTGGACAAAACCCTCACATGCACAGCTACACGAAAGGGTTTACTGTTGAAGGTGGGGCCCCCCTGCTGCAGATAGAGGAAGAGGGGCCGACGAGTTTTTTGTTGGAACATTCAAAGACAATCTTGCGGCGATTAACAGGGCATGCAGTAGCAGGGAAGGAGCCCTTTTCATTGCTCGCTGCAGCAGACCCCAGGGCCCCCATCAGTAGCAACAATAACAACAACCCCACCACTCCGAACTGGACAGATTTCTTCCTAGAACCCGGAAAGACTCAGCTGCTTGAATGTGTACGAAGACTCCGCACGCACGGCACTTCATTCTCTATTGAGTTGCCTTATGAACGCTCAGATGCAGAAATAAGGTAAGCGGCCTTTGCATTAATTTGTAATCTTATTAGTTTTTTATCAAAATTAATAAAATGTTGTATATTTAAAAAAATATATGCATACATTTGTGTTATTTCTATTTCTTTGTCGGGTTTACCTACTTTTGCCGTTGTGCCTATTATTCTCATGTTATTTCTTTTGTTGCTGATATAATTTATGTAGTTACTAATGACATTATTATGTACATATTATTATGTAGTTTATTATTTTTGGCATTTCTGCGTGGCCGTATGTAATTACTGTTATTACTATGTGCATATAATTGTTGTTATTTTACTATTACTGTTGTTATTATCACTGTTATTAATAGTATTGTTATTACTATTGTAACTATTGTTATTCTCGATTATTATTACTTTGGCGCTTCTACATAGTCGCACTGTGAGTTGCTCTTCCTCTTTTCATGTAATGTCTGTACAGGTTGTCGGCAGTTTGGTGTCCTTTGTGCCTGTGGTGTATCTCCAGCAGCGTCTCAAAATTTAATGAGCCGCTGCATGCGTGCATGCATGCATTTTCGCCGCTGCATACGAGCATGGTGCTCGCATGCAGCCCCAGAATGATTGCATGTTTTATGCATGCAAGAAGGCAATGAGGGTTTATTTGGTTTGTTTCTTTCGTGTGCTGTCTTTGAACTTTCAGGTGGTTCCGTGTTGCGGGATATTGCAGCTCCTGCATGCCTGGCATCATGTGGGGTATAATGCAGGATACAACGGCCTCTCGCACACGGCTAGACTGTGCACAAAGAAGTTTGCATCAACTTAAGACTCTCTTCGAGGCGGAGTTCTGTGGATTTGGTGTTGTAGATACAGCGGACACAGGGTAAACAGCGTGTTGACACCAGCTAAAGAACATCAGCAGCCCCTTTGCAGCAACAGCAGCAGCAGCAGCAGCGGTGTTGCTGTCAGGACACTTCAGCCCTCCGCTCTGTTGTTTCTAGGGTCATTGCTCGCGTAGAAGTAGACGGAGAAAGGCATGCATGCAAAGCATGCACGATACATGCATGCATGCATGCATGCGTATGCATGTTTTCTTGTTGCTTTTGCAGATTGATAGTTGAGACGTCAGCTGGGTTGGACGCTTTTCTGGGCGCCTCTGCGGTTGGCCGGCCTTCGATTTGTCTATTACCCGAACCGGTGGAGAAATTAACAACGCGCAGCGGGAGTTGCGTGGGGGCCCCCATAATAATCAAAGTAAGTAGAAGAAAATGCAGTCTTCTTCGTTCTATTTCTTCTGTATACTCCATGCGGCAGGAATGCTGCTGTGCTTTGCTGTAGGGGTGGCAAGGGGGCGTTGTATGCAAGAATTCTCGTTTATATCTTTTTTTGTATAATTGTATTTGTTTATATGTACGTACAAGTTGAGAAGGAGCCGTACACACCAACTGAGAAGCTGAGTTCCTACTGTGAAACTCTTGTAGTTTGTGTGTCTGTTACTTGTTTGAAAATACCAACGCCAACACCAAGTTGCTTTGAGTGTATTGTCAACGGGGGACAAACACATGAGAGAGGCTTAGTTCATGAGTGTCTATTGTTTATTTAGATGTGAAGCGGATGATTTGTTTTGCATGCGTTTGAATTGATGCGCTCTCAGGAACAGGAGTTCCCAGGGGCGGGCCTTCACCAAGTAACGGTCACAGCGGTTCTGGATAGTGAATCGCCTGGCGATTTGCTGTTTGCTTTGAGAGATGACAGAAGAAAACAGAGTATCTTGGGGCTGCAAAGAATAATCCACGCAATGCACGCAACGTAGTCGTGAAGTTATTGCATGCACGGCTCATGGTTTCGGTAGGTCTTTTGCTTGCTTCTGTTGACGGGTATTGCAATAGAAGAGCATACCGACACCTACCGCCGACCTCTGCGTTTTTCATGTAGTATATACAGAAAAAATTAAATAAAATTATGTGGAAGTGGGCCTATTAAATATTGTTTCCCTATTTTGTCCGTGGCAAAGGTCTATATATTATATATCGTCAGGCTTCATGGGCTATTACAAAAATATAAACTCGAAAGCTGTACGAAATGCAGAAGCAGCTGTCTGTACAGCTCAGAGTCATGTTCCTGGTCCATCCGCACCGTTCAGATGATCAACGCCAACATAATATATACTATCTAAAATATATATATAATATATATATACAGAAAAGTGTATGTAATTGTAGATGTATATGCGTATTTCATATGTATATATGTTTACTTTCTTCTGTCTTTTTGTAAAGCAAGAAGAAACGCAGAAATTGGAAAGCGCCGCTTCAATTTGCAAACTTCAGTTTTTGGGGACTGCGGCTCTGGCCCCAATTCTGCGTTTTCTTCTGACGGATTTCGTTCCGTTTTCTTCTGTATGTCGTTGTGGCGGCAGCAGCATTAAATGAAACTTCCTACAGAACAACTCAAAATAAACCCTTAACTTCTCTTTTTTTTACTCTTTTCTCTCTTCGTATACTCGCTTCTTCTATTTTTATTTGTGCCTGTCTTCTTTAACTACGCTTCTCTCCGTAAATTTACATCGAAAGAAACGCTAAAAAATAAGAAACGTCCTTCAGTCTACTGTTCCCTGTAGTCCGTTACCCGGGAACTCGTCCAATATGGAGAGAAACTGATTCCACTCCAACACCCCTGAGATGATAAACGACAAACATCAAATAGCTGCAGCACCTGCAGCAGGAGCAGCAGCAGCTGCAACAGCAACAGCACCAACAGCTGTAACAGACGCAGGAGCAGCAACTGCAGCAGGTGGACCAGCTGCAGCTGCAGAGGTGAATAGGCGAAGCACAGGAGAGAAGCATTGCGGATCTACTTTTTCATTTACCGTCAACGGGAGACAACTTCCAAATACACCTGAGCACATCTTCTTTGTGAATGCGGTCTGACTCAGACTCGGCCCCAGCAACTGCGAGAAAGGAGCGAAAAACGCATTCTGCGATCCACACAAAGAAAGCAGGCAAAGCAGCAGCAAAATACATAAAAACATAGCGGAGTAGTAGCAGTGTTCATTAATAATAATAATTGAGGAGAGCTAGTAATTTATGTCTTACAATCACACAATTACTAAAATAAAAGGCACTACTAGCAAAGACTTTAAATATTGTTTGTTTAGGGTTTGACAGCATAACCATAATGGGCTAATAAAGGGTCAAGTATTACCCATTGCGTTTTTATTGATTGACTGTCTCCCAACAAATTCATTTATTTCTTTCCAGGAGAACTTTTGTATTTCTTTTGTTTGTCTTCGTGTGGCTCCTCGCATGCGTCTGCAAGTGCTGTAAAGGAGTTCGCCTGCAACTGATTAAAAACAAAACAGCAACACAACACCAAATGTAGTTCTCCAACAGCTGCATATACACCCCAGCAAAGGCTGCACAGCACCTGCATGCACACCGCAGCGATACGACGGATATACTTTTAGCACTTATTGTTTCTCCTTCTTCTCTGTACATATAATACTTTGTTGTGAGCGTAAAAATATGAAGCTGCAATTGACTTAATGGTACTGAGAAAGCGAGAGCGAAAGAGAGAGAGAAGATACAACAACAAGCACCTGTCTGTACACCTAGCGGCTGTTTACCTGGGGCCGCACGGGCGTTCCAGGGGGCCTGGCCCGTGTTGCGTGTAGACGGCCATAAGAAATTCATTTTCTGTATTTCTTTACAGAACTCGCCGCACGTCAGGGAGCGTTCTTCTTGTCTTAAAGAAGAAGAAGAAAGAGTCTTTTTAACTCTGTTCCCATTAGCAGCAACAGCAGCAGCGGCATTCGAAACAAAGAGAAACTCCCAAGGCTGCAAGGGCTGCCGTTGCTGCTGCTGCTGCTGCTGCTGCGGCTGGTCTCGCCGCCGTTCTCCCTGTCTCCGCAGCAGCAGAGATGGAGTTGAGAGCGTCAACCAGCTATCGACAGGCCATGACCTTCTTCCTTCTTTGTCTTCTCGTTGTTTCTCTTTTAAACGAATTTCTGCTGCTGCTGCAGCGGGCGACTCCACCGGACTGCACAGCGCACTGCCTACAGGAGAAGAACCAGATAGACGTCCATATATCTGCAAAAACAAAAAAGAAAAGACGAAAGAAGAAGCATCATAAATAATGTCTGTTCTCTGCTGTCTGCTGTCTGCTATCTGGTGTCTGGTTAAGCAAGGACTGCACGAAGTTGTTGCTGGCGGTAGAAATATTTAAAAGAATCTATCTTTTTTTGCTGCTTTGTTTCCGGCTTAAGGGCGCATTGTCTTTGTACTTTGATTAATTCAAATGATTGAAACGCAAGAAGAGGAAACGCGATGATAACTGCAGCGCTTCTGCTATCTGCACGCAGCTCTCCTCGAGCACTGGTTGAAGGAGGAGTCCAGCGGGCGCGGCCAACAGAGTTGAACAACTCAATCGCTGCTGGGGAGAACCGCAACCGTTGCTGCTGCTGCTGCTGCGGGTACTGCTGCTGCTGCTGCAGCTGCCTGTTGCTGCTATTGCTGCTGCAGGTAAGACGTCGTGTCAGGCAGGGCGGCACAGCCTCCAGAGCTACCAAAGCTGCTGACCAGAGTAGAAGGAGGTGAAGAAGAGTGAGTCTTCTCAATCTAATAAACCCCCAGCATGTCATTCCTTGAAGTGGAAGTTAGGAAGGGAAAAGAACGATAAGCACATCAGTAGGGGCAGGCATCGCAGGCGTCTGAGCGAAGAAATGAAACAAATAAAGAAAATATTATTGAGGTGTTTGCTTTTAAATCAAAATAAATCAGTAGAGGTAAATTTCCTCCATGGTTTTCACTCAAAAACGCCTTCTTCGGCACATCGGTGTTCTGGGGGGCCCCTGACGACAGGGCGGATTCAGGGGAATGTAAATATCTTTTCTCGTTGTTATTAATTAAATTAAAAAGCAAAACAACAAACAATAAGAAATATTATAGATATATAATGAACGCAAATGGCAAACGACCGCATGCAGGCTATCGGTGGTGCTGGTGTACATACAGCCCAGCAGTCAGTCGTAGGCAAGAGTTGTTCAAGGGGGGTGAAGCCTTTGCTGTTATTTGATAGATTATGTAGCTTCTTTCAATGTAAATACCTTAATTTTTAATAGATTATACAAAAAAATACCATAATTGGTTACCTTTAGCCTAAGAAGAAGCAGGCGGCTGTGCCTTTGCGCTGCCGAGTCTGAGGTCGTTTCTTGTTGTATTCGTATTTTTCAGGATATTCTCCTATTTTTCAGCCTTTTATTTTCGTACATGCATATTTCAGACTCATCTAACTCCATTTCTTCGAAGTTTGCAGCATTAGACTGCCCGGTGAGCGTGAGAAGCAGCGGCAACCGCTGTTTGTCGTTTGCTGGCTCTGCACCCACGCTGTAAATACACCTGAAAATAGAGCTTCTGCATCCTCATATCAATGGGGGGTCATCAGTCTGTCTTACCTGTCATTCTCGATCTCAGGATCAAGGCGAGGGAACTTGTAAGCTGAACACTTCAATAAATAATGCAGAATGCACATCTATCTAGACATACATTCTGCATAACCACAAACAAACAAAGACCGACACAACATGCATGCAGATACACACACACACAGCGAAACACTGGTCTAGTGAGTAAACACTCCCCACTGCATATTCCTCTTTCGTGTGTGTCGTGCATGAAAACGTGCATGCATGCATCTCGGCTGTAACTGTTGTTGTTGCTGCTGCTGCTGCTGCTGCGGTTGGCAACGGGGGACGTTGCCGCATTGCTGGTTTGTAGCTTTACGGTTTGCACGAGATGTATAGTGAGGTGCTTATGATGCATTATCAGTGCCTGCATTTGTCTCGCTTTCTGCTAACAGAAGCGACAGAGCGATCGCTGCTACAGAGAAAGCATTCAAGAGAGAGAAAAAATAAGGAGGGCGCTCTTGCGACAAAACCAGGAGGGCGCGAGGTGCCTCTAAACACAAAACCCTAAACCCTAAACCCTAAACGCCGGTCGTTAGTTCTTTCTATCCCCGAATGCGTTCTGATATATGACGGTCCCCTTTAAAAAGATACGCATTCGGCGATCCTCTTTATCTCATATATATGTATATATATGTATCTGTACATATGTATATACATATACATGTTTGTGCATATATATATATATATGCATATATATATATATATATATATATATATATATGCATGTATATGTGTATGTGCGTGTATGTATGTGCGTGTACGTCAACTTTGATTTGTTGTATTATACTTGTTTTGTCTCTTTTTTCACACTTGGTTTTTAGGATATTCGCACAGAATTACGTGCGGAAGAAACAAGAAGGGCTCAATTCTTTGCATATGTCATCAAAGTTGGAGGCTGTCGCCTCTCGTTTGGATGGAGCAAT